TCACAGCACCAAACCTGTTTTCACTTCAAGCATTTGGACAACAGTCTCGGGCACATGGTGTGATTCTTGCACAGGCCCTGGAATCAGAGTTGATGATCCTGATAGGTGCCTTCCAACTCCACATATTCTATCAGAGGTTGATGACTTTGCTGTAGAGAACTGATCTGAAAATTAGTCACAGAAAGTTACCCTCACTCCCTATTAATTAAGGCAATTATCTAAAAAGATATTAATCTCTTTCTGAGAAATGTGCTGAAGCTTGACTAAAGTTTTAATGATTTGAGAATTTTACTTTAAAGATATAGAAGTTCGATGCCTTATATAATCATTCCTTCAGCATTTACAGGTAGAAGATAAAAGTTGAAAACACAGCTTTTTGTATTACTCACGACTTGTAAGTTGTTGGGTTTTGCCACGAAGAAAGTATATCCATTTCATTGTACAAATAGAAAGAGATGGAGATATGATTGTTATCTTTATTAAGTTGCTTAAGACAAAAAGCTGAGTGACTTAGAGGGTAAAGGCCTGGGATTTCATCACAGAAACATAGGTAGGGATTTAATTTGCAATCCAGTGTTAAGATGTTAGCTGCACAATAGCTTGCTCTATCTAATGATAAGGGAAAATTATTTACTAGCTATTAAAGGGATACCTGCCTTTGACAGGACAGTACTTTTCATACATATACATTACAGTTTGTTATTCTACAAGTTTGATTCAATCTCAAGGGAGGGTATATGGCAAGTTTGAGCCCCAAGGTACATCTAAATATCTGTATTATTTGCCAATTGTAATTATCTTCCTGTGACTTTCAATGTTTAAACTGGAGAATGTGGAATAAGACACTGATGTGTGAAGCTACCCGCTTCACATATTGAAAATACACCACTTAGGAAGTAAGTGAAGAAAGGATTCACATAGTGAATGGATGTCAAGGACACTGGACAAACAATAACAGTATTGATAACAATAAATTGTTAACAATCTAATGTTTCCAAGCCTTTGCTCTTGTTACCAAACTGTTTGGAAAGGTATAGGTCACTGAAGAATGGGTAGACTTGAATATACAGATTTACTTGTACTGAAACACTAAAAATATTTCACAAAACTTGACACCTATACATTGGTGAAGTATATAAAGGAAATATCTTCCTAATTTTACTTCTTAGGCACCTAGATGTGAGGTTGCAAACTTGTGTATTTTCTTTTGCTCAGACACAGAAATTAAGTTTCTATGTCAATTTTTTCTCAGCAAGTAGGAAGAGAAAACACTGTGCTTTCACCTCAATAGACTAATAGTAAGAAATTCACCCAGGCTAAGGTAAAATCATTGTTCCTTTGCTCCTTCCCCTTCAGAATCCACATGAATACTCACTCTGCCAATCTAAGCATAGATGATTGGTTAGGATTTATTCTACCTTTTGTTCTGAAGTTGAAATGATTCCCCTTTGCATGGAATAATTTAATATCAACTGTACCAATTAAGAGAAATAACATCACGACCTAGCAAAATCTGAGTATCATTCCTCCACACTGAGGAACAGAAAATTCTGTGCTTTCTCATAAATATTTAATATGAAATGCTTAAACATGTGATTGTCTCTTCCTTATATAAGGGATGTCTTATATGTTGAATAGCCAAAAATATTTGGATATCCTGCTAAGGAGTGCTGTTTTGTGATTAAAGGATTGAATTTGGTTTCATGAGGTCTAGTTTCAAATCTCAGGTCCTGTCTATTTGAGTAGGGGCTCTGCACATGACCATTCTGTTTCAATCTGTTTTGCAAACTAATGTTTTATCTTCCAGAAATCACAGAGAGTAGAAAAGATTTGTGTGTGTGTATTATCACTTATCTGCACTCAAGTCTCATTTTATATGGAGTAAAAACAAATCTCTGCATAACAATACAGCTGCACTTTCAATGACAACTCTTTCCAACCTTCAAGAAATCACCTTATCTAGGTTCTCACCTGTTACCACTTTGTTTATTTGAACTATAAGCGCTGCAGAGCAAATGACTTTTCTTGTTACATATGAAGTATTTTGCATGAAATCGCATACTGTATGATCCTGATCATTGAACCAGCAGGGGCTAGTGTTGTATTAAAAAAGAGGCCAGGCTCAACCACCAAGAAAAGAAAGTTATTGCCACTTGATTTTTTTTGTTGTTGCCCTTCTGAAAGACAATGCTCTCAGTTCAATTCACAATAACTCTTCAGCGCATCAGAAAACCACGAATGTGTTCTACTGTCATTCTGGACGAGCTTTTCTCACAAAGAGGTCAGGAGCCAAAAGGACATAAGTGTTCTCAGGCCTTGAAATTACTCCTCCAGGCGAGGGAGGCATGCTGGGGGATGTGTCTGTATTGCTTTTATATTGGCAAGGAGGCTTTCATCTCCAAGGCTGATGATCCCATACAGAAACTCCCTGATTCCCATAGGTAACGCTCCATGACTTCAAAATGGCCCATAACTTTACTTTCTAGTTTTAAGATTGTTGATAGGTTATAACTTCTGAAAACAAAGGAAACTGCATTATAGAGTGCTCTTCTAGGCCATATGTTTAACTTTAATGAAATTCTGTTGAGGTTCTTTTTTTCACCATATCATTGCCAATAAATAAAATACTACAAATGATAAAAAGAAAGGAAAGAGTTTTCTAGGAACTTAATATGCAATAGGCAGTGATGAAAATATTAGAAGGTAGCATATGACAACTTCTAGTTTTATACAACTTGTAAAGAGTCAGCTCTGATGGTTGCCATCTTATTACTTTGCATGAAAGGTTAAATATTTTTTTCCAGTTGTTACCCCAGAAAATAGATGAACACATGAAGTACATTAAAAAAAGCAAGTTGTAAAAACACACGCATATATTCACTTGTATTTCTTAGTTACTTTCAATCCATCTACTTATCATTGAACTATTCATGTGTAACTGCACTTAGTATACAGTAGCTTCCTAGCTCATAAAATATTGATTCAGGTTTTTTATCGTATATCCTTCTTGAACTTTGATCTTTCATACTTAGTGCTCCCTTGATTAAATATTTAGAAGTACATTTTGCATGTGAAAGGTAAATTTAGAGGTTTTTTTATGGTACCCTCTGTTAATGCACTAGCTTCAACCCACATGAGACCCAAGCTGAACTCTGTCTTGGTCACATTTAGTTGATCACTGCACTTTCAAAAATCTTCTATTCCAAAGCAACTTTTATTTTAAAGTAAAGTTTATTTTTTTACCTGGCTGGAATGGTTTACAACACCAGGTACATTGAGAGAAACTTGAGAAGATACATCCAAAGAACTAACTAATAGTTACTTCCCAGCAGATAAAAATCTATAAACTATATAATAAACCAACGCTCCCAGATTAAAACAAACGAACAAACAAAATCAACCACAAACCATCAAAAAACCCACAGGAAACATTCTACATATATTTATAGGCAGTGAATGTTATTGAGTAATTTTGTCAAAGCAAGCAAAACTACTGCAATATCTCCTTTACCAATTTCATCAATTCCAAAATTTAGCATAAGAAAAAAACATTCTCTTGAGGTTGAGAACTGATGAAGTCTCAGTTCATAGCTCAACATACAGGATTGAATTTGGCATACAAGAACAAGCAAGGTCCAGCTAAATCTTTTTCAGGGTCTGGAGGACTCACAAGGGTTCTGTCCACCAAAGTTTCCTGATAGCTGAATCTCTCTTGTCTCCATCTAGGCACTAACTTTCATGAAGCTTGTAGAAACTCAGTCAATTTTTTAACAATCTCCTTGCTGTATTTGGGTGAAAGCAATTTTGGCTGAAGGCTGCCAAGGTTCTTAGGAATAGAGACATAGGGTGGCTGGCAGAGCAAGAACAAATACCTGCTTCTGTTATAGTATAGCTGTTCAAATTAGGATATGATACTAAAATCAATGGAGCAGTAGGTATTTAAGAAAATGGACAATGAATAATAAGAGAATCCATCCTGTTCTCTACAGGATTGTTTTGTGTTTCAAAAGTACAACTTGGGCTTCTTCCCAAAGAGGTGGCACATCAATAGGCCAATGGAAGTACATCTACACCAAGGCACGTAGCATGGGCAACAGGAGGAGCTGGAAGATGCTGTGCAGCTGGAAAACTATGACATAGTTGAAATCATGGAAATGTTAGTTTTGCAGCTGGACTCAATCATCTTAATGTTCTTTTCAAACCTAAGTAATTCTATGATTCTGTATTGCCTGTTTTGAATGTGCTGCGCACAGCTCTTGATTAAGACAGGCTGTTTGGACAGATAGAAGTGAAGAAGCAGAGATAACAATCTGGAGATTTTCTCACTCTAAATTTTAAATTCACAAAATTTTGTGTTTAGGAGATGCTAGTATGGGGAGAAAATTCTATATAAAGTGTACTGAATATTTTCAATAGGAAACTTCTTTCTTTAAATCAGAAAAGTAATGCAAAGACTGGAGTCAGTGTTGTTATTGAGATGCAGAACCAGGATTTAGTTTAACTTTTAAAATACTGTTCACTGAATGACTCTCTGTCCAAGCATTATTTAGGGGAATAATAAAGACTATATCACCAAATACAGAATTTCATGGAAATTAAATGATCAAACTTTAAAAGACAGCCTTCAAAGTAAAGCAAATCTATCAGCCACCTGGTCATATATTTAATTAAAAATATTTTTATAGTTTGATAACATAAACTGATTTCTCACACAATGTAACATCTGTGTTTATTTTACTAAGACAGCTGGAATGTTAACATTTAAACTTGTGTCATATAAACATTTTGGTAAAAGAAAAGTTTGTATCTCAGACAAAACCTGACGACATAGTTTTGATACGCAATTTATATTCTATATGTGTTTCCCATAGACCTTTAAGAAAACCCCAAACTAATCAAGGTTTTCATTCTGTATTTTTGCCTACTTTATCAGTTTCCAAGGTAAGAAAGTTTTGATATAGAAATAATACACAATACAGAAGCACAGAGAACTGTCTTACCTTCTGGCTCCCTGATCTTACGTCCTGCTGCAGACTTGCGTAGCACACTCCTTCCTGAGTTAAACAAGCTAGTTAACTCATCAAGGGGACTGGTCAATGACCTTGAGTTTGTAGGGCTGTATGGAAATGAAGATGATGAATTTGAGTTCAATTTCCTGTGATCCGCTCTGGCCACCTTTGGGGAGTAAGGAAGTTTGGAGAATGGAGAAGACGAGCATCCAAGCTGAGCAGAATTGGGTCTCTGAGGTACTTTTGACAGATCTGAATTTGTACCTGTCTTCCCTGTATTAATTAGAAAATTAGCACAAGTCTCTGGAGGAGATGCAAAATGTGTGGAAGCCCGGTAGGAAGCAGGAGGTGGTACAGGAGGAGGGGGTGGTGGCAGTGGAGGAGGTGGTGTGGAAGGAGGAGTCACTTTGGTGGAAACACTGAACACAATCAGGCCTGGAGATACTGGTCTTTCATTCTCCCCTTTCTGGCCTTTGGAGTACTGGGGTGATAATGGACTTGAGCCTTCTGACTGCACAGGGTATTTTAGATTGGTTTCCAAAACAGGAAGCTTTTTGACCTCTAGTGGTGTTAAAGGTGATTCATCAGAAGCAGGTGAACATGTGACAGGGGTTGGAGGGAATACAAGAAGTGGTGGTCTGTGGGGGAGCAAGTTTGGAAAAGGGGCTGGAATGTCACATGAGTCTTTATAGATCAAAGCTGCTTGACTGTTTCCATCCAATGTTCCATCTTCAACGTTGACAATTTTTTTGCTTTCAAACAACAGAGGAGGAGATCCAGTCACTACTGGAAGTATTCCATTACCATTGCTTCCTTCTTCTGGTAGAAAGTATTTCATTTCTTCATATACAGACTCTCCTTGTTCTGGACTCTCTGCTTCAGCAGAACTGCTTTTCACGGCATTCCCTACCATTTCAATATAGACAGGCTCATTTTCCTCCTCTTCTTGTGACATAAAGAGATTCAACATGCCATGTTGTGGTCCATCAGTAGAAGCTGCTCTCTGTACTGTCACAGTGTCATAGACACTTGGTTTAATTACTGTGCTTGCTTTTTTTACATCCCCAGGCTTTTGGCCAGGTATTTCTTCATAAGAGCCACTAAGTTTTGTGTTTGGACTTCGCTTTGGTTTTCTGGGAGGTATTTTTTTCATGGTACTGTAGTCATCACTGTGTGGTCTTGGACGGGTCAGTACTAGGAAAGTGAAAAAGGTCTGTGTTATTACAAGTTAAACTCAGTTTTTTCTTACACTGGTCTAGTACTTTAAGCCCTCAAATGTTGTCCATTTAGCTCTACAGTGAGAAGCAGCCACAAACATAGGACTCCAAGCAAAAGCATAAATATTTCTAGGAATAAAATGCAGAATTTTCAGCTACCCAACCACAGGCCTTTGCTACCTGGGCATATAATGTACTTTGGTAATCTCTACTGCCACTAAAAGATAAGAACTCACACCTGAGGAAATACATTTTGAATCTAGATGTGCACTGCAAGGTCTGTAACACATGGAAATTTGTGCTTGTTTATCCTTCTGCTCCAAAGGAGAGGGACATGTTTTCAACTAGGAATCAGCACAGTGCTACTTGGACACACGTGATTGCCAGTAACTGAAATACCCCTCTTTTGTGTAATATCTATAAAACTCTAATTATAGGATGATATTATGCCCCTCTCTTCTTTTGTACTGCAGGTGTGGAAAGAATTGATAACTTCAGGGAATCCCATTGCCTAAGGGCAAATCCCCAAGTGAGTATACATTTAACTAAACTAGATGTCTCTTCATAGCCTCCAGGCATGTATGGAGTGAAGAGAATAGATACCTAGATGATTGGTCTTTTACGATCAAAATCAGAGCTAGTTTTGGACAAAGACTCAGGAAACTGACATAATTCTTGAAAAATGAGCATATGGCAGAGAAACTCGCATTATTGTTTCACACAATAAGAACTCCAAAATTGTTTTATGAGTACATGTAAACACTATTGCTAAGACCACACATATATATATATAAATTGTTGTTCTTTCAAAACACCTCTGCTAGAACTTATTGGTTAAATTAATAATATCTTGCAGATTTGGACACAGAAAGATTAAATTACTACAGACCTCCTTCTGCCAATACTAGTTTAAAAGTATGTTGGGCATAGTTCATGTCTCCTTACATAGAGCTTGAATGAGCAAGAAAGAAGTTAAGAAAAATGGACTTTCACCTAATGAACTGGACATGAGAACAGCAATTATTTTGAGAGAGGGAGCTGCAAAGATTTCTATCCATTGTATGCAGAACTAAGGAGTTATAGAAAGCTTTAAACCCATGCTGAAGGATCTTCCTTGATAAATCTTGAGGATCATTTACACAAAACACGACAAGTCAGGCTTATCAAGGAAAGCAGAATGCATTCCTTTCTTTCATCTTCTACCCATTCATTTCAAAGGTAAAGGAGAATAGAACAAGTGAACTCAAAACCATGCTACGTGCACTATAATGCACTGAGACACTTTGGGACACTTACAGCACTTTCCTTCTAAACAAAAATCACTGTAACCAAATTATGGCAGCAAACCCCCAGACAAACAGACACTGGATGCATAAGTTATTAATGTGCGCATAGAGAAAAAGTAGGGGAAAGTTTCCTGCTTAGTGAAATTCAAGATTCGAGCATTCTGTTTTAGTGATGCAAGACATGCTAACAGTTTAAAAGGTGAAATAAAATGGTCAGTGAGGACGAATAGCTCATGTTGACAGATTACTTGCTTATAGAGAGATTTCTACAAATCGGTTTTGATTGTTGACAAACTGAGCAATTAGAACACATGAGTATTGTTTGCTGATTTGGGAGCAAATGACAAATTGGATAATTTTATTTACTGCCACTGAAATATTTCAAGGAAGCAGGACCTCTCAAAGGCATTTGACTGTGTTTAAAAGGATCAAAGTAAGAAAAATAAATCAATAACTCAGAGCAACATTTCAGCCTTTGTGTCTAACCTTCATTAGCGGTTTCCTTAGAAGCTGCCGACAAGCAAGCACTCACAGCCTCGTACGAGGCACTCAGTCGTGTGTTGGGGTCCCTCTTTGGTTTGGGAGGAGGCTGTTTCCTTGGTGATGGCAGGCTATTGCTATCATCCATGCTGAAAACAGAGTGCAGGGAGGGGGATCTGATGGATGACCCAGCTGCAGAATGTACCAAGCCATCCACTGCCATGGGGACAGGGACAGAGCTGGAGTGGAAGTGCTTAGATGTTCGACAGCCGGCAAAGCTGTCCTCAGAGACCTTCCCGCCCTTGTCTTCAGCTCTGAAAACATAGAAAAGAGCCCCAGATGCATTATTCAAGCAATAACAATGAACCTGTTCATGCAAATGTAACAACAGCTTTTTGGTAAACAATCTCACAACTCCCCTGCTGTGTGGAAGGGATGTGTGTAGTAATCTTCTGACAAACAAATCCAGATCAAGCTGCTAGCTTTCTTCCATTTCCTGTTTCATGATAAATCAGGACACCGGCCCTTTTTCACACAAATGCAGCCTTGCTTAAGCAGTCTCATATTGTTGACCAGACATTCACTGAATGAATTGTTCACACTTTGATTGCTACACACAATCAAAAGCTGGGTTTTTAATCTGAATGATAATTTCTGGGAAATCCATTTTAATAGAAAGTTACTGAGGCAGCAAATGCTGAGCCTTTATCATTATTTCCAAAAAGACAACTATAAATTCTATTTAGATAATGCAAATGTTTAAAATATTAGATGACCTTTTTAACCAACTACATTGGCTGCTTGAACAATTCCACCAAGATATCCCTATGTCTTCCAGTTTAAATTTAATTATTGGTTATTACTTTTGATAATAATTTTTATTATGATGATGTTATGTTTAGTTGTTTCACTTACAATTGTTTTTCAATGTTTTCCCTTTTTTCCCCCTATTTGAATATATATTGAGGAACAACCTTCCAGCTGCTTCTGACAAATTGATTTTTAACAAAAATTCTTCTAACATTTTATTCCTCCAAGAATCAAAACACTGAGACCCTTTTAACTCGGAGTAGTAATGTATTAGATAGAAGATGTCTGTAGTGCCATTTTTCAAACAAATCCTCAAATATTTGTCTTTTTAAATTGTACTTCTGCATGGGAAATCACCAGCAGGTCTGAAATTCATGCACAGGATATAGCCAGCTGCCCATGTAGTAAATGAAATAGCAAAAGATGAAAGCATGGTGCTCAGTGGATAATTTGTTTTCACTCTAATGTTTAATTACAGTCTTTCCTACAAAGGCATTTCCTCCAATATGTAATCACTGGGATATTTGAAGCTAATTAAGCAGATGCACTGCCATTTTCACTTTTATTAAAGTCACTGACAAAAGCAATGATAGCAAAGGGAGCTGTTCTGGATGAAAATTAAGTTCCTATGGAAAAATAAACATTTATATGTCCAGCAAGTTATAGACACATTCTTTCTATTGACACATACCGATTAACTGCAAATGCTAAATGTGCCCATTCAGCTGTCTAAGAGAGAAATCAGGAGTTCAGTTCCTAGAGAATGGCTCTTCAGTATTTACTAGATTTGTAAAATAGGTGCTCCTGAAAACTCTAATGTGAGTTATAAAACCAATATTTGCCCATTTTAAAATAAAAGCATCCTCCTCACAATCAATCTACTTGTTTCAGTGAGAAATCAGGATTTCTTAGTCTGGACTTTGCTGTATTTTAACACTTTCCTGGCTGTTTTTCATTACCTTGACAATTTCTCAGTGTTGGTATTTTAAGTCCGAGGAATTTTTCTTTTGCTTGTTTGGTCTGATGAAATGAAACTATAATCTATTTATCATAGAATTAGAAGTATTTTTGTAAAAAATAGGTGTCTCAGGGACTTGAATAAGTTCATCTAGCTCAGTGCCCCCTGAATAGGATACGGTAGTCTCCTTAAGTTTCTAGACTTAATTAACTGATATGTAGGGAAAAAATGTGATCTAATACTGATTTGGGATGAGCGTATACTTGAGATATATACTTGAGAACCCTCTTGCAATCCCTCAGTCATTTCTATGGTTTTCTAAGCAGGGAAGGAATTCACAAAAACTGAAGAGACTCAATAATTCTTCACAGCAGATGTTTCTCACCTTTTGTGCCCTTCTTCTGGCCTGTTTCTAGCCTCTCCCTTTTCCCTGTGGTAAGCAGCGTTCATCTCGTTGCGGAGCCGGTCATTTTCCCGAGCAATGTCAGAGGCATTCTGAATCACCAAGTCATCGTATGTTTTCAGTCCCATATCCTCAGCATTCTGCAGGAAGCTTTTGATTGAGGTGACCTCTTGCTGCTTGATGCTCATCTTCTGTAGCAAGCGCTGGCGAGCTAGAAATCCTCTTACAACTACCACAGTGGAAGGAGAAAATATGGACCAATGAAAGATAACTAATTGGGGAATTAACGTAATATCTGTGCTCATGTTTACAGCAGAACTGTGTGTTCAGCTGTAAACATGAGCAAGCCAAGTTCAGTCCATATCTTATACAAATTAGGAAAGAAATCTGATGGCATATAAATAACATAGTAAAATGGAACATTTTCTGTTTTCTAATCCCAATGCTTAAAACAAAGTAGTGACAGTAAATTCATAAATTTGAGCTATCAGAACTCAAAATATTTCTTTCCACTGAATGCTATTTTTTATTACATTACAACATAGATATAATAAAATGTATACATCTTAAATATACATAAGATGCATACAGAGATGCATAGTACAGATTGTGAAAGCATACATTTACACTGCAAAGGTCAAAAGAGTTTGTTTCAAAATAAAAGCCTGGATAAATTAATTGCAGTGAATGCAGTAGGAATTAAATGATTGTTGTTGGTCAGCTTTAAAAAATGTTTTAATTGTTTCAGTTTTCAATGGGGTACCTAATACCCCATCAAAATCACAACCAACACAAGATTTTTTTTTGTTTTACTTAAAGACCTTTTACTGCTCATTTCCTTTCAGCTAAAAAAAATTAGATTACTTAATGCAAATTTCTTAAATGCATCTGTCACATCATATCTGCATTTTTCAGTTAAAAGTTTTCATCTACGTTGCATCAGCTTCATGTAACTATTAGACTTTTTCTTCACACTTTGTCAGCTTTATGCTGGGAAAAGATTTTAGTGCATCTCCTCTAATAGCTTTCTGTATCACTTTCCTATGTATGTACCTTCATGACAACAAATCCTACCCAAATACCACCCAGTACCCTGGGTTTTCTGAAGTACAGTTGACCAGAAACACAAGACACAGGGGCCTCTGTGCCCATAATAAACTGGGCGCCATTTTAATCCCAGTGCCTGCAGCAGGTGGTGTCAATATTGTCTGAACCTATGCTTTGGCTTAGAAGGAAGAAATATGCTAACTGAAAGTATTGTGTTCGTGTGGATGTTTGTTTGGTTTTTTTAAAGTACCACTAGATTATGTTTCTTTCCAGATGTAGAACCACTGCTGTGTATCTCACAGGGAAGAACCTGTTTTAGAATTATTTGTCTGTTGCCTTAAATACTCCTGGTTTTCATCACTTTACATGTATCAAGACCAAGTCAAACTTCATCATTGCTTCTTTATGGTTACTGTCTTTCTGGTCAACCTGTTTAGACACTAAAAAAAAGATTTCTTTTTTGGAGATGCTTAGTGCCCAGCTGACAAGGTATAAGAAAGGCTAATGTTAACATACTGATACTGCTTCTATCCAAAATCCACTGAGTTTGAAAATCCTCAAATTCAGATACTTTGAAATAATTTCTAATAATAATTTATTATAGATAGCTTTGAAGGTTTATACTTTTATAATCACAACCCAACCAATCAATGCCTTTAATTGCTTTCCATAAAATCTGGTTTCTGAAACATTAATCCACTTACCCAATTTACTTGAAAAGGAAACTAATAGTACAATTATTGTTTACAATTTTATGAGAGTATTCATAATAAAGAGGTTACTGAGTCTGACTCTAAGGGTTACCATTGCAAAAATAATTAATACATGCATAAAAGATTATCAGAGTTCACTGCTCACAGATATAAAAATTTTCAAAGAGCTTAATAATAAAAAAAATGCTTTTTCTTAAAATATTCTCTTTAAACTTATCTTCTGCAGAGCAAAAACAGTTAAGCATCAAATCCTGCATAACTTTGGAAAAAAATCTGGTTTTTAAAGTAACATCTTTACAAGAGTCTGTATGTCTGTATGTGCTTTTAACTTGTTAAAACAAAAACAAAAACACCAAAACAACTGGTAACACCACCAAGGTTGGTTAAAAAAAAAAGAAATTAGAGATCAGTTTTCTGATAGGATTGTTAGCAGGCATGAATGAGTAGCTTAGAGTAGTCTGCTAGAATGGCCCAGTAAAATGAGATCCAGTAGAGCTAATTGTAACATTTAGAGACTGTACAGCTACTCTGAATTATGCAGTTTCACCAAAATGCAGAAGAAACATTCAACAAAGCTTTATTAGGAAGGTTTGGCAAATAGACATCCCTCTTTCTTGCACGCATTTTCATGAACTGAATAGTACAGGTTTTTCATTAAATGATAGATATTTCTCCACACTTCCTTCTCTATGAGAACATTTGAAATATTTTGGTTTTGGTTAAACACAGAAGAATTTTATAACCTAAAAAGCTGCTGTGAAATGAAACTGTCAGCTCCTAGACTTTTACTGCTCAGTTTAATCTACTATTGTTGGGTACTGGGTACTATGATTGCCTGGTGAATTTGCTCCTCATTTATGTAGATCTAAAATAATTCTCACTTATGCAAATTAAAATAATTGTGGTTAGCCCCACAGGGCAGAAAAAGATCTAATGCTTCAGAGTTCATCTAAGGATGAGGATTAGAATCATCAAAATTCCAGTAGACCATGGATCTGGGTTATGTGAGAAATTTATTAACTATTGTGTATACAGTATATTCAAGTTAATTCCTCATCTACATGAACTCTGATGGAAGAATTTCAGCATGATTGCCCTTTCTATGAGTACAAACAATTTTCTCAGTGATTCAGGTCAAAAAGTATCATATGTAGTTCTCACACCTGCAGAAAAAAAATATGACAGTCTCTAAACTCACACATACATTTCTAAGTAAAAGTGTTTCTACACATGCTTTCACTTTAGTTTGACCCCTTTCTTTGCTTGTGTAAGATAAGTTTCAGGAGATCAAAAAGGTATCTTATCTGGTTTGCTTTGTTTTGAGGTTTTTTCCCCCAAATCTAGAAGAAGGGATTGCCAGTTAGATTTGAAAGTAAAAGGAGATTTGAAGTAAAAAGTGTTGATAATAATTGTGGGCAAGACCTGTTTCCCCTTGAAGCTAAGCTCTTATCTAGGTATATGATGCTATATTTAAAGCTTGATAAAGAAATTAGGATCAGAGAATCAGAATATCCTGAATTGGAAGGTTCACAAGGATCATCAAAGTCCAACTCTTGACCCTGCACAGGACACCCCAAGAGTCACACCATGTGCCCGAGAGCATTGTCCAAATGCATCTTGAACTCTGTCAGGCTTGGTGCTGTGACCCCTTCCCTGGGGAGCCTGTTCCAGTGCCCAACAAGCCTCAAAGTTTCATGACAATCCCTTGGGTCCTTTCACTGCTCACCAGTGAGAAGAGATCGGTGTCTGCCTCTCCACTTCCCTTCATGAGAAAGTTGTAGACTGGTATGGGGTCTTCCCTCAGTCTCCTCCAGACTAAACAGGCCAAGTGACTTCAGCCACTTCTTGTACAGCTTCCCCTCAAGGCCCTTCACAATTTTCATAGCCCTCTTTTGGATGTTTTCTAACAGCTTTTTTTTCTTTCTTTTTTTGATTATATTGTGATTACTGACTAGTTTGATTATTATTCAATGTTTTCAGGAGGGATGTATCTTCCAAAGTCCTCTGTATGTAAAGGGTGAGGGGATAAAAGTGCATTGGGACTCACTAAGCATCACTATGTCAGTGTAAAGTATATGGATACCAATTTTAGGATAACATAAGAACACTCTGCTGGTAGCCTATTGTATTCCAAATCTGCCAGAGCTCTTTGGCGTGCTAATTCTACAAGTTTACAATTGCACCTGTTTGCAAAAGGCAGCTTCTTTCATGAGCTAATTTGGCATGAGGTTGATGTCTAACTACTGCTTACTCATCCAAGTTCCTGATTTTCACAGGTTTCTCAGATCATAAAAAGCATGCAGATGAGCACACACTTTTGGCAAAAATTACTTTTCAAGTTACCCTAATTAAGGAGGATAGAAGCAAACCCAAGAAAAATATTTTGCAAGGAGCCAAGAAGCCCTATTATCTTCATTCTTCAGGCAGGCTTTGGTGATCTGTTATCTTACTTCTGTAAAACATGGACATATCTGAGGATGTTTTAAATTTTGGTGTAGGGTTCTATTGAAGCATTCTGTTTGCAGATTGGGTTCCGAAAGGTAAATATTTCCTTTCTTTGATAAGTCAGCATAAGAAGGGAAAGAGGATAAACTGTTATTGCTTCTCAAAATGCATATATACAATAGGGTAATTTGCATTAAAAAATCACACCCAAGTTATAAACTCAGCTAAACTGTGGTGTCTGTTACCTGTCATTCTCCATGTTCATTTCTGAACTGTTACCTTTTGGATGTCACTTGCTTCACGTTTTCTCTTGACTTCCTGTTTTTCACTACATGCTTACAGTGAGATAATTAAAATGAAAGGGGTTTGTAATTCTTAAGCCTGCAATATTATGTGTCTGACAAAAAAAAAAAGATAAGATTTTTGTCTTTTTAATTTCCTTTAAATAGGTGAAAATGGGAACTGTTGCAGACATCAGCCAATTAGGTAAATAATGAATGGTGTGAAGGAAGCTTCTTCAAATAAAGCAATATTCATATTTTCAGCAGTTATTTAAGACTTTGATAGGAAATGGAGCATAAGTAACAGGAAATCAGGAGGCAGTGGATAATACCTCCTTTTAAAAACATGCCAAAAATTGTCAGTGACCTTAGGAAAAAAGCAGGCATAAAATGGGAAAAAATACCTAAACATAAAAAAGTAGCAGTCAAATAAGAAAGTAGTAAGGAAAGGGGAAAAGCAAGGACAACTAAACACACTAACTTATTACCTTTGTTTTTAGTGTTGATATATTTAAAAATATTCCAATTTTGTATCACTGTTACAATATTTGATATGCAAAAAGAAAGTAAAGGTGATATTAATGCCTTGAAAAAAAATCACTGAACTTAATCTAAAAAGGAAATATTCAAGATCCTCTAAGTTTTAATTACATTCAAGAGTTTGTCATATGTTTGACAGTCAGAAAGTGCAAGAATCACCAATGCTAATATCATCTTAAAAATCTGTGTGTATCTGTAGGGAAATGTATAAAATATAGCAACTATTCAAGGTGAAGAAAATCTCTTTGCTATGCAATATTCTGCTCTGTGTACAAAGCAACAGCTCAAGATTACTTGTTCTGTAACTGTTACCTTTTTGGCAGGTTATAATTTTCTTCTGAAGCTGAAGGCACAAATCGTTGAGATGGTCAGCCTGCCAGTACTTAAGAAACACTTTTCGGACTCCTATCTAGAATATAAAAAGCAGAGAAATCATCAGTAAATAAGGCCAAAACAATGACAGGCAAATAGAGATAGCATGTTAACAATCCTGCAAAGGGTTGAAATAATATCTGCAATTTAGGAACAGTACAATGCCAATTCTTTAACAGAAATGCAGTTATCACTTGGTTGAATAAAAGATGCATCTGTAAAGGATGAACAAGCTGTCAGACAGATAGTTCCACTTCAGTTCCAAAAATATCCAGAACAAATAGTACAGTCTTCAAGTTAAATACAAGTTGAGGGAAAAAAGCATTCTGAATCTAATTACTCTTGTGCGTTAGACAACATAACAGAAAATAAGGTTTAGTTCTTATAAAGCAGAGAGACGTGTGCATGGAGAAAAGTGACAAGACAAATCCATGTGGAACAGAAAATGGTGAGATAGCTGCCATTTGTGGAACAGAAAGAACTTAGCTGAAGTTGGAGGATGGGAGAAATTCACTGTCATTAGTGACAATTATTCCTAATATCCAGTAAAATTATCCATATTAGTTCCCAGCCTTGCTTACTCAAGCTGTGCTGTGGATCTCCTTTCAGAATCAAAGTCAGAGGGACTCACTTGTGAAAAATAATCTCCTAAGTATTGATTCTGGTATTGTGTAATATTTAGGTTTAATTCATCTACCTCTTGAAGTAACAACCATTAGAGGCTCTCACTCCTTTAGAGAAAAATTTAGCTAGCTACACCAAAAGAAAACATCTTTCTTTTGATACATTCTGAACAAGCTGAAGCAGTCCTATAAATTCATTTCTGTATCATCTTCAAAAGCATTCCTTTCTAATAGATTTAAAAACCCACATACAACCTAGCAACTCTAAAACCAGCAAGTAACTGGGAAAAAAAACAAACAATAAAGCAATCATTTTTCTCAGGAATTTTGTAGAAGTAACTTCCTTCACTTCATAGAATTAAAAGGAACAGTGCCAGAAAACTGTGCTACCCTAGAAAATTCTAGATTTTGTCTAACCATTAATTTTTTATGGCTAATAGGCATACTGATTAATTAATACAAGAAATTAATTTCTTGTAGTAATGCAGAAATTCATTTCAACTGGTTTGTCTATAGCTTACAAGCTCACTCTCTGCTCACTGAACCATCCTGCTCCTCTGGTGTTTTTTTACTTTAGATCTGGGAGACAGGTATCTGGAGGGTTAATTGCACACCCTTCCAAATTGTTTTAAATCCAAACACTGTCAGATGTATATCCTGATAGTCCTGGACTACAGAAAGCCAGGACATACATTTCATGGCTAAATTCCCCTGACTCAATTATTCAGAAATGATTGTGGCACATTTTTGGCTCTTGACTTCTCTCTACTGTAGAGAACACCTATTTTGAATCAAATGTTTTTAAAAGTCTGTAATCCTGAAGTTTGAGCTAACAATGATGGTGCAATTGTTAGTCTTAGTTAAAATCAGATGCATTCAATTGGCAAAACTGGAATGCATTCTAATTTTTTTTCCATTAGTATCTCTTTTCCCAATAAAATAGTCCCTTTTGAATTATAGCAAAGTGTGTAGAAGTAGGTGATAAAAAAGATATTTTACTTGTCTCGCCATTGTAGAAACTCAGAAATAGGGAACAGGCTTTCTTTGCATGGTGGTTAATCTGAGGCAATCTCCCTGAAATCCAACTGTGCAGTCACATGCCACTCTTAGGGACATACTCTCATCTTCATTTTCTTGACTGATGACTTCCAACAAGTTTTCTTCCTCAGCTTTCAAAATTCTCTATTCACCTGGTTATCTTAACCCTTTGCTCATTGAACAGTTTTTTTTTCGCATCCATCTTGTCAAACCACATCCTGAACCTTGTTATTACTAGTTTTGGCAACTAATAGCTTCATTGTCTTGCTTGCATTGCCTTAAATACAGAATTATTCTGTTAAAAAATAACGGAATTATTATTAATATAGTTAACTGTAATTAAATTATCATGCAGTTATTATAATTACCATTTCATCTGAGCAGCTCTCAGAAAAAGCCTGAGAACAAATACTTAATAAAATTATATTCCTCTACTCTGATTCAATTTTCTCTTTATACTCCACCTTTCCGCATAATCCTCTCCATCACACACTTTTTTCCCCTCCTATCTCAGACCTATGCCAAATCATCCAATTTTTCCTTATTTTTGTCCTTTGTCCTTAATTACTCAGAGCCCCGGCTTCTCCGCTTACTACAGCAATAATGATACTCTGACAGTAGAAAAGGGGATGAAAATTGCACTTTCAAACCTTAAAAAATCTCTTATTACTAGTAATGCCCATGGCAAAATTAACAATCCCATTCTCAATTAATCTCATCATTGACTTGTTGGTTTGTCACATTTAGACTGTATTTCAAATGTGTACCTTAACTAAACAATGAGTTGCAATTTATTTTTGCAGTGGGCAGTCACAAAATCACAGTCAAGGCAATTGCTGTAGTTTATGTTGGTATAGCTACAAGTGTCTGGAACTGCAGTCACAAAGCTATCAGGGGACATGCAAAGCTTTACTGCTCTTTTCTCTCGTCCTACACCTAGAAACAATAAAAATGGAGCTATTGTGGCATCACTTATGCTGTGATCTTCATTAGTAGGACCCTGCAACGGTTTCTAAGTGACTGAAGAAATACAAAATATCAATACAAATCCATTTTACCATTCAGATAAAAGCTATTTATAGATTTTTACATCATAGACCAGGTCTACAGAGAACAGAGCTCTAGACAGAAGCATGTATAGCAGAAACTGCTATTACATGTTTGATTATGTTAGTACAGATAGAAATCTCTGTTGCTTAGTCTTTGAGTTAAATCTGAGAGCCCTGAGACTGACCAAGAGAGCAAGAGTCTCAATGCCCTTTTTACAGTTCTGGTGTTCAGTGAAAGCAATAATGCTGAAAAATATTGGAATTTCACGTCACATATCAAAACAGTTTTTGAGGCTGCCACCTGTCTTCATTCTGGTCTCTTCTTTAATCACAAAATGTTTCCTGCTTGCCTAGGGGAAAAAAGGTTCAAATGTTCTTCCACTAAAACACTCACTTTTCAATGTTTTTTCTGGACTACAAAGTGCTCTCATCTGAGTCTGAAATTTTAATGTCATGCAGACTCCTGTAAAAGTAAACCATCTGTGAATTACAGTCAAAGTTATTTTAATTAGGAAAGCATTAGGGTTTAAAATGTTGTTTTTCAAAATGACACATTTTTTAAAGACTAAGTAAAATTGTCATTGATGACTACATGACTACCAAAGCTTCAATTGCTGCTACAGGCCAGTTTTTTTTTCTTCCTGGAAGGAAAGAGAAAGAATGGGCGGGAGCTGTGGAGCTGTTCTTTCTCTTTCTCTTTTTTTCCTCTTTTCTCTCTCTCTC